GCTTGAGAAAAGGTTTTCAAATCCCTTTTGAAAAGCATTTAAACAATTCTGGAAAATAAAAAGGAAAAGGGAAAAGCTTTGCTAGTCACTGTTCTTGGCCGAGAGGCCCGTTCTTTCTCCTTTCGGCCTACTTAGCCCAGCAGCCCACGAGCGCTAGTGGCCGCAGCCCGCCTCCCTTCTCTCTCTGTCTCGCTGACGAACTGGGCTCGCACGTCAGCGTCGCCTTCTTCCTCCTCCGGCTCGGTGTCGAACCGGACACCGATCGAGCGTCGATCCACGCGTGGGCGTCCGCGCCACGCCCTGTCCCTATAAAGGGTGAACGACCGCGTCCGCGATGCCCTTTGCAACCCTAAGCGACCCGCCGCTTCACTCTTGAGCCGTAGAGCCGCCAAAACCCTAGCCGCCATTATCGAGCTCCGCCCGAGCTCGCAATTCACCGCGGCCGTCGCTCCTTCGCCCCTGTAAGCTAGCATGAAAGCTTCGCCTTGATCCCGTGAGTCTTCCCGAGCCTTTTCCCTGGTTCAATTTTGCTCATATCGTGTCGCCGTGGTGTGCAGTTCAACGTCGTCCGCCTCCGCGAGCCCACCGTCGTCCACGCTTCGAATCTGACCCCATCTTCGAGCTAGGTGAGACCGCCTCGCTTCCCTCTTTCTTTTGGGACAAGTCCCAAGCCAAATGGTGGCCGGAAACGTCCGGTATGCTTTCGCCGGCGAGATTCCTCGCCGCCGCGGCCGCTTCTTCTCCGGCGACTGTGCCGCCGCCCTCCTCCTCGGACCTAATCCGAACCGTCCATCTTGGATCGGACGACCCGCAGAGGCCGATACCCCTTCACGGGGAAAATTTGCTAAAGAGCCCCTGAGCTCTTTAGATTTTGAACCCACAGTTCAAAGCGTATTCCAGAGAATACGTTTTCTCTTTTGGAAAACATATTTTCATTTAGCAGATTCAAAATCAAGTTCTAGATATTTACAGAATTGCCACTGATTTCAAATGCTTATAAAATGCTCATTTTAACTCCGATTTGATCCGTTCAACTTGCGTTGGATTCGTAATTTCGTAATCTACGTGTTGGTGTCTTTGTTAGCTCAGTTCTAGTTTTAAAATTTCGAGTTCATGTTTAGTACATTAATAGTCTCTAGGAAAACTTGGAAAATCCATATCTTGCTCGTTTTAGATCCGATTTCGGTGAATTTCGCGTGTATGTGATCGTAGTGACGAGTAGAATGTTTTTATACACTTTTCAAACTGTTTTCTTGCTGGTGGTGTATTGTTCTAATTATAGCCCTTTGTTTGCTTCGTGCATGATTGCTCGGATAATTGTATGTTGCTGCTTGGTGTTGTTGATCGAGTTCAGACGGTGAGGTTTACGTTGGTGATCAAGAGAACTTCTACGACCAGCAAGACTTTCAGGAGAACTTTGATCAAGGCAAGTATAGCTAAGGACCTTCCTTGTTGTCCTATTCATGATGCTTACTAAAATACATATGCATGTGTCTTCCTTGCTACCTATGGTAGGATTTCCTAGATTTTGAATACTCAATTACCTTGTCACCCTGGGAGGTTTGCATTGGGTAGTTCTATTGCTAGTGCAACAATTATGATGTTGAAACTTGATTAATGAATATGCTATAAACATAAACAAGATAACTTTTTAGCAATAGAAGGACTTGTTTTGTAACTGATTATCCGGGATTTAACGTACAGCTGTGAGGGCTATATGGCTCTGGCTCTAGTTGCTTGAGAAACCCTTTTCTAGCTGGTTAGAGGTCTGCGAGTTGGGTATAGGACAGCCTCTGTCCTGTTGAGCCTAGCTATGGAAGCGGCCTTTTATATTATTGGAAGGGGGGGTTCCTATATCTGATGACCCTGCGACCCTGGCCGGTTAGACGAGCTCTTAGGTGGCTTTATATGGTTTCCATTGTTTTGGGAGTAATTAACCCACTCATTTGGGAAACACGACTCACAGTGAAAATGTACACCTCTGTGCAGAGTTAACAAACTGGTATACTAGCCATGCTCACGGATACGAGCGACCTTGGAACACTTACATTAAGGGATAATGACTTTTACTTGTTACGATGATTATTTATGTTAATTGTTTAAGATATTGATTATTCATGTTCATTGACCATGTGTTATGGGATTATTGCTACCTTGATGTTAATAAATGCTAAACTTGATGATGACTTAAATGCTAACCGCAGTAAACCAGTGTCAGCTATTTGAGCCTCATGAACCCTTAGTTATCTTGTTAAGTACGACATGTACTTATGCCTTGCTTTATCTTTTATGTTGGAAAAATCCCGGATGGGTAACAGATCAAGATTGGATTGAAGATTACCGTGATGAGTATTAGGCTTGGTGTCCACCAGTTGACGTCCCTGTTGGAGCTTCCGCAAGAGAGTTATCTTAGCAGCTATTATATCTATGTTTGAGACTATGTGTTGAATATTTATTCGCTATGTAATAAACATTGTGTTGGTACAATTCACAATTTGTCCACTTATGTGTGCGACCGTTCCTGGGGTGCACATAAGACTTTTATACATCATCTTTTGTTCTTAAAATTAGGTGTGACACATATATACCATAATACCAATATGTACGTGCATATACGTGTGGGCGCTGTGTTTTGAAGAAGAAAAAAATCGAATTGGAGGACCTTAGGTAAGGTGCAAACAAAAAAAACATAGAAACATAGACTCTGTTGACTAGGGTAGTAGAATCAGACCCCTTAACTAAAATCGTATGGTGAAATCGTAGATTTTAACAAGAGAGGTGCCTGTCATAATAAAGGTTGCATTTGTCAAGGGTTCTAAACGCAAGAAACATCTTTAATTAATTAACAAAGCTGCTGGCCTCATTAACTAACTTTTGACAAGTTGCAACTATCCTTTGAAATAAAAACAAATTTATCGTTATATTGACAAGAAGTTGGTCAGACGCGGATCTGCTACATATGGGATGGATGCATGTCTCAGGTCAAGGGACAGCTGCAAAGCTTCGCTGGCTGGCTGGCCGGCGCTGGCTACTAGCTCTCTCTGTCGATCTCTCCATCGTCCCACCTTCTTAAACTTAAAACTCCTCATCTGTGCGGCCGTGTGTTAAACGTTGCATTGACATGAAACTGACGAGCACTAATAAAGCAAGCAAGCTTTTGGACCACCACCGTCTCCACTAACTAATGCATGCTTGCTTTTATTTTAACCGAAATCAGCATGTGAGATATGCCTCCAATTCCATTATCGTACGCGTAGCAGCTAGCTATAGTCAACCAAATAAAAGTGACAATGTGAAACCATTTGCTTCTCTTCACAGTTCACACTGACGTAACAACTACTCCGTACCACGTAGAATTGTTAACATATTTTCTAAACGAACACGCACACACAATTACCTCTTTGAACATTTTTAAGATACTCCTAATTAAGCTAGGCACGCACCTCACTGTCGATAGATGTATGCTTTTAAAAAATTATCTGAAATACGAGCACAGTCATAGCCTGAAACTCAGTAGGCCCTACGAGTACATGGTACAACAAACCCATCTTATCAGCTCTCTCTCTCTCTCTCTCTCTCTCTTAAAAAAAGCTCTTACGGAAAATAATCATCATTGCTCCAAGTTTAACTAGGCATGCAGAGTATATATGATCGTTTTTATATACCCTTTTTTTTTGTCCGACGTCGTCGTTGATCATGCAATCTCTTCTAACTATCTTATCTTTTATTCGAAAGGATGGCATCAACTTTGCCGTAATTTTCATTAGACGGGAGAAATTAAAAGACACACCATCCAACCACCATATCTTCATCGGGAACAAACCAACGACAATACAACACATATCTTTCCCCTAAATACGCAATTTCTTTGTTTCTTTGCCTTTTTCCCCTTTGTTCACGGAAACATCATGATTTGTTGGGAAACAGCAATTTCTTTGTAGCTATTTTATATGCATACATATAAGAGTTGAGTGGTGACAACTAATGCATGCACTTTCTTTCTCGAAAGAAATTAAAATCACACACAGGTAGTATATAAAATATAATGCACACGTAGCTTTCAATGATAAGCACTCATCGATCATGATTAACTACACACATGCGTACAAATCTGAGGTATCGTCGTCTTCTGCTTCCCAGAGATGCTACTCCTGCATACATATCTGAAACTGAAAGCATATATACACCAGCCGATCTTTATCCACTATGGCGATCTTATACCAATTGTTATATGCATAGAGGTTGGATGTTAAGTTGCTAACTAGCTAGCCCGAATTATTCACATTTGCCTGTACTATTATATTTGAGTCCATAATTCGATGCAACTAACGAGGATAATATAATTCGCACAACTTTACAAAAATTTTCATCATGATCACCATTAAAGCACGCAGTTCCACTCCCACTATCTGTGGTGGATATTTGTTAGCCTAGCCTTATAAGAAAATATTCAAAGATACACCCATTGAACTTTCTTTTTCTTGTGAGTTTTAATAAATCACCTAACATGGATGGATATCAAGTACAATCTACACATTTGCACCACTTCACAAAAAATGAACTTTCTTTTCCTTATGAGTTTTTAAAAAAAATATTTCTAGTCCGATTTACTTCTCTAAACTTCTAACTTAGTCCGATTTATCCCCTCAGATGTGGCGACATATCAGCAAAACCACTCAAGATGCAAAAATAACCGGTTTTAAAAGTTGAAGGGTGTAAGAAGAAATTGGTTTTGTAATTCAGGTAGTAGATGTTTCGGAAAAAAATTCAGGGAGCAAACTCGGCCCACCGCAATAATTGAGGGAGATAAATTAGATTTTTTTCCCGAATACACCAATGAAAGGAAACCACGGCCCACTCAACAACACACGGGCGTCCATTCTTCTCTCCGGCCCGGCCAGGCCCACAAAGTCCACCTCGTCATCACCCCTCAAACTGTCTCGGATAAGCCGCGCGCGGCCGCGCCGGCGCCGCAGAAACAGAAGGCCGACGCCGTCGCCATGGCGTCCTTCTCCACCGCGCTCCTCCCCGGCGCCGGCCTGTCCCTCCTCCGCGCGCCACCCGTGTTCCGCGTCACCGCCTCTTCCTCGGGCTCGGGGAGCAAGAAGAAGAGCAAGAAGCCCAAGAGCGGCAGCAAGGGCAAGGACACCAAGGCGCTGGAGCCTCCGGCGCCCGTGGTCCGCCGCGCGCCGGCGGGCAGCGCGCCCATCTTCCAGCAGCAGCAGGAGGCGGCGTCCAAGGCCGGGGGCGCCGGTGGGAAGGGGCCCACGGAGGAGGAGCTGCGGCAGCGGCAGGCCAACGAGAACGCTTTCCTCCTCGCCTGGCTGGGCCTCGGCATCATCATCCTTGTGGAGGGCATCGCGCTCGCCGCCTCCGGTAATATCTGCAGTCTCAATTTGGTCTCCAATTTACAATGCCGCTCTCACTTTGCTTATGGTGATGTGATGGACTGTTGGTGAATTCAGTTTAGATGTCACTATAGTTCCCAAAAAAGAGGAACTTTAGTGTTGAACTGTGTGAGTACATATAGCTGCATCAATAGAGGATGGCGCTTTATTTGTGGCAATTATTGATGAATCGGCGAAAATTGCCACGATGGTGACCCTGTGGTAGCTTTTCAGCCCACATGGCAAAAGATTTCAGACCATCCTATAACTTCCTATGGTAAATCGCACACATTCAAACATGGAAACGACCCTAAGTTTTAACTGATACTGCACCTAACAGAAATCACATTATAGTACTAAAGACATGATAAATCTTCAAATGGAAGATCTTGGTGCAGCAATCATCACAACTCTGTAATTGCCAGGCACGATTCCTGAATCCTGAACCATGATATGCTGAAGTAATCAGTGACGTGAAACTGAATTTGCGTGTAGAATGATGCACAAAACTACCAAAGAAAATATTTACCTTTGATCATCTAAATGCGAGAGTGTCGAGCACCAGAAACAGTAATACCTATTGTAATGTAAGGGACATTTAGTTATGTACAGGTCACTTAACTACTAGTTGATTTATGAGTCTTACTCATCCAGTAAATGATATATATGCCAAAAAGCTTTTGGTACTGCAGAACTGTTGAGCCAAGTAGTCATATTTTGAACTTGTATGTCATGCAGGTTTTCTACCAGAGGAATATGACAACTTCTTTGTCAAGTACCTTTATCCATCATTCACTCCAACAGTTGTTCTGTTTTTGGCTGGTACGGTTGGATATGGTGTACTCAAATACTTTGAAAGTGAGAAAAGTAAAAGCTAGATTACAGCACAAAGGTGAGACTAAATATAATCATCTTGTGAATCTCTGGGCTTTACTTCTAATTTTGTTCACACATTAGTCTATAGTTTATGGTATGGTATGGTATGCTTCCCTAGAAAGTCAAGACTGAAAAATTTCACGATAGAGCTGCTGGTGAATAAGTGTATATATTATTCTAGACATCACAATAGAAATATTGATTGATGAGTGAATCTCTTATTCCAGCTTCACCATAGGGTATTTAAGTTGCTCTAAACAGTTTTGTTCCTAGCATTTGTTTTAATGCATGTAGTAATGCATAAAGATGCTATTGTGGTATCTACAAATTATAAATCCTGCAATGTTGCAGACTAGGTACAAGAAGAGGCAAAAGAGAGTTACACTGATTAGTAAAGTGCTTCAAAATTAGGTTCTGGATGGTACACCTTCAAGAGTTTTTTTTAAGGAAAAAGGGGGTTCATAATCATTACTAAACCTTTTTTGCATGCATATTTGATTTTTCTGAAAGTTTCACATTACAATTATCTAGCCCGGTAGATAATACTCGAATATCATTAGTTTTATCACGATGTTGACTTTCATGATACATTTATGCACACTAGTAGCTTCTAGAATCTAGATGTCCAAAAATCATGTTCCATGTGAAGTTTTTCATGTTTTTTTAGAGGTCTATGTCTCTGCCATTCATTCCCTTCCTCTGTCGATGTTGCTAATATTATTTTCTTTGATGCAGCATGTTTGGAGCAAAGATGAGGGTAGAGTTAGCAAATATGCTTGTTATGTATGAAGTAGCTTAAGGCAGGAGATAGGTGCCAGAAAGTGGCTGGTGTGTTTTTTTTTTCATCCCAAATTCCTAATTATTCTTTTTTGTTTGTAAAGTAATGATAAATGGATACTTTCCTGAATCTGTATTAAGTTGAGTTGTATATCGGTTTTTGGCGATTAATTGGCTTGTTGAGACCATTTTGACCAAACATATTGCATGGTGTATTGCTGTCATAGTTTATCCTGAATTGGTTGGTCCATTGATAACCATGTAGGAGCATTTTCGTGACTATGCTCTCTTGATATGTAATATGTATGGGTTCTTTGCACAATATAACTAAATATTTAAGGCATATATGACCATTTTTTGGGACTTGAAGGAATGGGTTGAGCTCCAAATCAACATAAAAGTTACCCTAAAAAATAAATTTATTTTGGATGTTTCAGTTGAAGCCTGTTGTTCTAGTTGGCAAGCTAGATCACCTTTTTTTACTGTCCCTTTTGATACCCATATACAACTAATTAATATTAATGCCCTATCTCATGTCAAATTTTGAATAACTCTAGCTTCACGGTAAAAATTTGAACATACAAGACATGCATGCATATGCACAAACTTGAATATAATACACTACCATAATTGGCCAACCCTTATAAACAAAAGAGAATAAAAACAAAAAAACAATAATAGCATGAGGCATCATGGCATCACCTGATAATCTACCCATCCAAACACATTCTGTACTAGGAACATACAAGGATTGATTACAAACACAAAAGGAACATATACATATATAAAAAAACATCATGAGCACGAATGCAAGCCCAAATGAATTACCCAACATTGCAAAGAGATTGTCCATGCATGCTTATAAGATTTTCGTAGCATATATCACACGATGTCTCTAAATTAAATTTGCTTCTTACATGAGTGGAAGGATACATTGCTAAATGGTAGCATGCCCAAAATCCCAACTAAAAGTATACAAGTAGCCATGATAAAATCAATTGAATAATGTCATAACCATGTCGTTAGTGACATATTGATATATATACATTTACAAACATACCTATGAATGAATCTTTAAAATCCAAATAAATAATAGATAATAGACTATAATCAATTTGCTTTGATGTCGAAGACCTGTTAAGATATAATTTATAGGAAATCCATGAACTCACCAATGCCCCGCCTAGCGCTGGTGCCATGGCCTATGAAAGGAAAGGTTTAAGCACCAAATCAACATGAAAAATTATTTTGGATGTTGTTTCATTTGAAGCTTGTTGTTCTAGTTGCCAAGTATGATCACCTTTTTTTTTGTTTTAGCCCATTTGCAACTTAATTAATATTAACGCTCTATATCATGTCAAGTTTTGGAATCATTCTTATTTCATGATAAAAATTTGAACATACAAGACATTCACATATAGGCACAAATTCGAATATAATACACTACCCATAATTGGTGAACCCTTTATAAAAAGAAAAGCAACAATATCATCAAACATCAAAGTGATCACCAAATTTCTATATACACAGATACAAACATTTTGAACTAGGCACATGTTTGTACATTACAAGTATTGATTGCAAACACAAAAGGAACATATACATGTATAGAAAACATCAGGGATGTACGCAAGCCAAATTAATTACCCAACACCACAAAGAGATGTTGTCCATTGCTTTCTTTCAGATTTTGGTAGCAGAGATCACACGGTGTCTCTAAATGAAATTTGCTCTTTATATAAGTGGATGGATACATTGCCTATTGGTAGCGGTAGCATATCCAAAAACCCCAACAAAAAGTATATAAGTAGCCACGATCAATTGGATGCATGTCATAACCATGTCGTCAGTGACATGTTGATATATATACATTTACAAACATATCTGTGAATGAATCTTTACAATCCAAAGCTAGAATAAATAATAGATATAGTCAATTTGCTTGGATGTCACTGATTCAAGATATATTTATATTTACAAAACATTCATAAACTCACCATCGTCGTCTAGCACTCATGCCATGTTGACTATGAAAGTAATTGTTTGAGCACCAAATCAACATGAAATGTTGTTTCAGTTGAACCCTAGTGTTCTAGTTGCCAAACACCATCACCATTTTTTCTGTCCCATTTTATATCACATCAGTAACTTCATTAATATTAACACCCTTTCTCATGTCAAAGTTCTGAATCACTCTAGCATGATAAAAAATAAACATTCAAGACGTATGCATGTATAGGCACAAAATTGAATATAATACACTACCCATAATTGGCAAACCCTTATAAACAAAAAAGAAAGGCAACAAAAACAACAATAGCATCAAACATCATAGTGATCACCTATTTTCTACCTATGCACACACAAATTCTGTACTAGGCACATGTTTATACATTACAAGTATTGATTACAAATATTAAAGGAACATATACATATATAGAAACCATCATGAATGAGCGTAGCCCTGATTAATTACCCAACATTGCAAAGTGATTTACTGATTTTGTCCATGCATGCTTACATGATTTTTGTAGCATACATTATGCGATGCCTCTGAATTCAATTTGCTCCTTACATGAGTGGATGGATACATTACTAACGTCTAGAATATCTAAAATCCTAGCCGAAAGTATATAAGTAGCCATGATAAAATAAGTTGAATGGTTTTATAACCCTACCGTCAGTGACATGTTGATATATATACAAACATATCCATGAATGAATCTTTAGAATTCAACGCAAGAACAAATTATAGACTAAAATCAATTACTTGGACGTCACTGAGCTAAGATATATTTGTATTTACAGAACATCCACGAACTCACCACCATCGTCTAGCGCGCTTTGTCATGCTGACTATGAAAGTAATTGTTTGAGCACTAAATCATAAAAAAAAGAAAAGGAAAGAAAAACAATAATAGCACCAAACATCATAGCGATCACACCTCCGCTCACATGGATTCTGTATTGGGCACATGTTTATATACTACAAGTATTGATTACAAACATAAAAGGAACATATACATATAGAAAATCCAAGAATGAACGCAAAGCCCGACAATTACCCAACATTGCAAAGAGATTTTCTCCATGCATATGATTATAAGATTTTGGTAGCATACATCACCTGATGTCTCCATTAAATTTGCTCGTTACAAAGTGGATGGATACATTGCTAATTTGTAGCACATCCAAAACCACAACCAAAAGCATATGAGAGTAGCCATGATCAATTGGATGCATGTCAAAACCATGTCCTCAGCAACATGTTGATATATATACAGTTACAAACTTGTCCATGAATGAATCTTTAGAATCCAAAACAAGATTAAAATAATAGACTACAGTCAATTTGCTTGGATGTCACCGACCTGGTGAATGAAATATGTATTTACAAAACATCCTTGAATTCACCACTGTCGCCTGGCGGCGCCGGTGGCATGCTGCTGCCTACCGTGTCTTTTGCGTTACTCTCCCTTAGCTTGACCACCTTCCTGTGGCGGTTCGAGTGCTTGTCGCTCTGGAAGCTGGGGCTCGTCGACGGCCGGTACTCCGGCAGTAGCTTGTTCAGGGTGTACCGTAAGCCACACGCGTTGCACAGGGTGCCTGGCCCGTCCGGCCCCGCACGCCACTGCGGCGTCTCCGTGCTGTCGCAGTGGCTGCACGCCCTCTGAACTCGCCGCCTGTTCGTCGGCGGCCGCGGCACCAGGCCCTGCTGCCGGACTCCACTGCTGCCGCTGCTGCTGCTAGGGTTAGCTGCGTGAGGTATAGGGATGATGCTTGGCATGTCCAGCGACCACGGTCGCCTGCCGCGCATGACGGACCTGTCCCGTTTCCTCTTCGGTACGACGAGCCGCGAGACGGCCGCCGGCGACGGAGGCGGCGGCGGCGGCTCGGCCGCCAAACTGGACGTCCTATGCCATGCCGTCCATGAGCTGTTGCTGCCCGACGATAGCGGGGAGCGCACCGGCAGCCGTGGCGCGCCACCTGCAGAGGAAACGCCCTGGCACCCGCGCTCGGCGGCGGTGGGCAGCAATAATTCCGTGCCCGGCGGCAGCGAGGCGGCTATGGCAAGGTCCTCCAACAACTCCTCGTTGTTGATGAATTCTATGACGACGGTGTCGTCCAGCGAATCGGCGGGGCAGCAGAGCCCGCTGTGGAGGAGGCACGGGCCGCCGCCGTCGAGGACGCACGAGCCGTCGCAGTCCGCGACGCCGGCGGCATC